TTTTGTTGCTGCGGCACCGAGTTATTACTGCTATGGCTTGCTCGTCGTCCGCGGCTTTGTTTCTTGTCCTTTTTACTCGTGCTACCTTGTTGTTGACGAGGACGCTGTTGCTGTTGCTGTTGCTGCTGCTGCTGCTGCTGCTGTTGACGACTTCGCGTGCCGGGTGCAGGTGTTGCGTGCGTAATAGTCGGTGTATACCGCTTCCACTGGCCTTTTCCTTTGCCTGCTTTTGTTTTTTTTAAAATAACAGTAATAGCATGTCAGTATCTCGTGGATGTGGGTACAACAAAAGGCAAGACAACCTCCTTGTCTATTTCAATAACAATCAAACAAACGAACCTTTGCGTAAAGAGATTTTATCCTTTCGCTCCGTGTCGTCGGCCGTGTTTGTCGCTGGCGACTCATTGGGAGCAGGCCATGCACTTGAATCTTGCTTGTCTAAGTATATAGAGAGAGAGTGTGTGTGTGTTTAAACAGGTTAATTCATCTATCACAATAATCCACCTCACCCCTTCGCCCCCATTCTAAGAACACAGGCTATGTGAATTTATAAATAATCAGAAATGGTTCTTTACCTTTGTATTCGAGCTCGGATATTTTATCCGTATCGTTGCCGGTGGCAGCCTTTCGAGCTTGCCACACATTCACTTGAGGTGCAGGTGCTGGTACAGTTTTGCTTACGCCGCCGCCGCTGCTGCTGCTGCCGCTGCTGCTGCTGCTGTAGTCATCGTCAGTCTCCTTGGCTTGGTTGTGGCGCCTGCTACCGTTACTTTGCTGCTGCGGTAGAGGAGGGGGAGACCCAGAAGAAGAGGACTGCACTGTTGTTGTTGTTGCTCTTTGGTCTTGCCCTTGTTGTTGGCTTTCGGGTAGAGACGATTGAACCGTAGGACTGACCATGATGGCAAAAAGAAAGAAAAAAAGGCGTAAAAGATTTAAGTTTTCAAGCGTGTGTGGGCTGTTTTTTTGTCCGTTGGGTGAATGTAAGAGGAAGGCGGAATTTACGCCAAATGGTAGTAAAGAGAGGGAATCAAATATAGAAAAGAGAAAAGTAGTATGTATAAGCGAGCTTTGTGAGGGGAGGAAAGAAAAGGTGACAATGTACAATAAGAATTCAGGGTGGAGCGTGCTTCACAGAGAAGTAAGAAGTTTAAAGAGAAAAGAGAAGAGAAGAGTGAGAGAGTTACAACAGTTACAGTAAAAGTAAGGACGCACACACACACACACACACACAATTCAAACTCACTACACAGGTAAGCAAGGGCAAGAGAGAGAGAGAGAAAGAGAACTTAAGGTTTGTAAAGATAGCTGCACTCCTTTCTGTCGCCAGCAGGCAAAAGGGAATATGTGAGAAAGAAAGAGAGAGAGAGGGAGCGAGCGAGGGAAAAGACTTGTTTCACGCAGAAAAGAGAGGCATTATTGATTGCGCTTACAATTGCCCGCAATTTAGGGTCCCGCCCCCTCCATGCTGTATGCACACTTTGGTAACGGCTCATTGGACAAGTTTTGTTATACAAGCACTTTGTATTCTCTGCTCCTAGTCAAGTACAACACGCTCTTGAGAACCATGTCTTCCAGACACTGGATGATCCTTTCTCGTGCAAGATCCGCGTACATCTTTTCTTCTTTCCTGACTCTGGCAATGATGTATTCTTGCATGATTCCGCCTACGGTGCATGAAAGACGGGGTATAGCCCCAGCCATCGAACACAAATTCGCACAAGTGGGGTGTTCACAGTGAGCGTGAGAATATATAGAGAGAGAGAAAGGTCGCGCAGCAGCACCCACACACACTGCGGAAGATCCAGTTTCACTTACCGAATGAAATTGTCAAGGTCTCTTGCTTTGCACGGATGATGCGGTATATCACTTGCTGCACATCAGCGTCCTTGACCAGCCTGAACAGTCCGGCCCCATTCGCGACCTCTACAATGAGCCCTTTTTTCGAGAATATTTCTGTAGCTCGAGCAAATATTTCATTGATACCATTATTCGTAGGTTCGTCATGCTTATACTGCAAAAGGACGATCGTTTTCATCAGTAAATTCGTTTCAAACCCAACGAGTCCATCTATGTACATACATCGTTGACGCAGACATGGCTTGCTAGCTCTACAAGGTCCTTTCTTGACATGACTTGGGTGTATGAAAATCGATCATCTGGGAATTCCTGTTGCACATGTGCCAGAAACTGCTTTTGGAAAAACTCTTCGTTGATCTCCACAGTCTCCTCTTGCTTTTGCTCTATCTGAATCCGCTCATTCGTCATCGATTAGTTTCCTTCCTCTTTCGATACTTGACAGAGTCTTTGTTGTTTACCTGACTGGCAGTAATTACACCCCGCCAGAAATATTCATCGTGCATCGCTCGTAGTTCCTCTTCAATTGCCTGTCTGTGTTCGAGAACATCTTCGGATAACGCGCAAGGCTTGCTGTACAGCGTCTCATACAGATAGACTGTCTGCAGATCATGTAATATTTCTCGATTTGGGTTTTTTATGACATCTTGAGCACATTAAAATGAAAGGTTACATGGCTATAGCGAGACAGAGAGAGAGAGAGAGAAAGAGAATAGACGCAAAGGGGAAACATACCAAGATGTTTGATAGTGATTTGTCGAAAACCCATAAAGTCGCCAATAAATCCACGGACTAGAATGCAAGTGCCCAAACCACGGGGCTTATTCTTTCTGTCCGGATGTTTCCACTTGATGCAACGCAGCGTTCCTGTTGCATCATCAACTAAATAGCGCATGCTTCTTAAATAAGAGAGCTCTTATGAAACCAAGAATAATAGCTTTCTTTTCCTCCCCTCAAAAATACACACAAAAGAGACTATTACTTGTGTATATTATCATATTATAGGTTTGTTCTACGGCGACTATGGTTCCACATATTTCAGCTTCTCGAATGAGCCGCGATTCATTCAACAGGTAGTGCCCTTTTTTTCAAATAAATCGGCATTGGAGGGTTTTGTTTTTTGTGTTGGTATATAGTAGTCCAAACCATTCGTAGTGGCGTCTTTTTCGCAAAACTAGTTTCTTTACCTCGTCGATTCGGAAATGGGCTAAGTGATAGGATGGTATGAATGAAGAGTTTGAGGGGTATAGAATAGAGAGGATCGAGTGTGTATTGAAGGAGTGAAGTCGACATGGTATACAAAAAGTAGAGAGGTGGGGAAGGTGTGTGTGGGGTTGAGAGAGAAGAACACGCGCGTTGAGTTTCTTCGAGGAGCGTGTGTGTTTCGCGTTTTTTTTTCAGGCTCCCTCGAGCAAGTGAATTATGAAGGGAGTGTGTGAGTATCATAGAACAAGAGAGGTGGCTTATCCGTCTTCCCCAGTGACGTATCATCTCCAGTCCGGACTGCATTGGGGTTGAGTTGTCCGGGCACAAAAAAAAAGAGCGACGGGGGCTCCGAACGGCGAACCACACCCCCTGGTAAATTTTAGCGGTAGCGGCACAACGAAGTTTTCCTTATTTCACCTTACTTTTCGAGTCAAAAGAAAGAACACAACATGTTTGGTATGCGCAAGTTCAACGCTCCTGTCCTCCGTCCCGCCGCTCCCTTCATTGTCGGTGGTGTCACTGTCTTTTACTTGGTTGCCAAGATCCAGAGTGCCTTGATTGAGAGTAATGCTTTATTTAATTGTTCATCCGCATCATAATCCCACAAAGGAAATGGCATTGACTCAAAGTTCCTTTTTTTTTTCTGTGAAATTATAGCTGACGAGTACAAGAACGACCCCAGAAACCCTGCTTGTATGTATCCTATCTTTTTTTTTCTCGCCCTGTTTTAAAATGAGTCGCGTCGCAAACACAGGAATATTGATTTTTTTATTGCTTATTTGAATAGTGGCTGCTGGCAAGAAGGCTCACTAAGAGAAAACTCCCCCCGTAACGTCTAACGCAAAACAACTCTGACGACGAACTCGAAATCTCGCATTTGTCTATATACAACAACTTGTAGAAAAAGAATAAACGCACTCCTCAAAAAAGCTTTTGCTGTTTTTGTATGGTAACAGAAAAGAAAGGTCATAGTGATGTTATTTATTGGATATCAAGGGTTAGGATTTTGGTACTACAGACAGCACTGTATTTTTTTTATTGTTGTAGTATGGTGCTGTTGAGAGTGTGTTTGAGAGAGTCTGAGTTGTTCCCTTTCCTTTTTCTTCCCTTTTTTTTTGTGTGCTCATTGAACCAACAGTTTAAACATGTCGCTGAAGGTATGCAAGATTGGCGCAAAAGAGGGAGGAAATATATACATAATGCCTAACCGAACGGAAACGCGTGTTTTGCTTTTTTTAGTTATTGTCGCAAAAGGTAGCTCAAGCTATTGACGAAGAGCTCATGTCAGCCGCAGGGGGATTCTCTGTCGACCAGCTCATGGAGCTAGCGGGTCTCAGCGTAGCGCAAGCAGTGCAAAAGTCGTTTGATAAAACGCAGTTCCCAAACATCTTGGTATGCGTTGGCCCGGGCAACAACGGCGGGGATGGACTAGTAGCCGCTCGACACTTGTATCATTTCGGCTATAAGCCTGCGCTGTATTATCCAAAGCAACCCAACAAGGACTTGTACCAGGTAGTATATACTTGCTGAATTCAATGATTATGTATACCCTGGAAAAAAAATGTGTGTGTGTGTGTATATATATATACTAATACTAAAAGAATATGTATATATAAAGCGCTTGTTGACACAATGTCGAAATCTGGAACTACCTATCCATCAAGACTTTCCCGGTGACGGTCATGCCGATGTCCTTGTCGACTCAGTGTTTGGATTCAGTTTCCACGGCGAAGTACGCGATCCGTTCAAGGATGTGATCAAGACGTTTGAACAGACCAACAAGCCAATCGTCTCGGTTGATATCCCAAGTGGCTGGGATGTTGAGCAAGGGTGTACCGACCAAGTCAAGTTCCAACCGGAAGTCTTGGTATCTCTGACCGCACCTAAAATGTGTGCCAAACATTTCAAGGGCAAGCGTCACTTTTTGGGCGGTCGGTTTGTGCCGCCTAGCATTGCCAAAAAGTTTGACTTTCAAGTGCCTCCGTTCCCAGACAGTGATCAGGTTGTCGAGCTATCTACAAGTGAATCATCGCTTTGAGAATAAAATTGTCTATATGTATTTTCGATAAAAAGGGCGAGGGGGCAGCTTTTGTACAGTTGAAATGGTACATTGAAAGAAAAGAGAAATTTACAATTAAAATAAGAAACAACGGTTGAATGCTTTGTATATATAATGCGTGTGTGTGTGTGAATGTTTGAAGGGCAAGAAAAGAAAATATGCAAGAAAAGGGTGTTTATATTCAAAAGAAGAACATCTATGGTGTACGTACGACGGGAATCTCGGTTTAGCAGTGCGCAAGGTATTCCTTGATGCTATGTTATTTATGTTATGCAAGTCAGTTTCAGTGTATATAAACTTCTATTGCTAGCATTTCGACCTTTACCTCGGTGCAACGCTTCTTGTTTTCAATAGCGTCTCTTTCCATTCTTGTTCAGCATCTGACAAGAACGTAATGGCTCCACCACCACCGACAGAAACTTCCACTCCTCCTTCCTGAGATGGATCGTCAGTCACCACAGCTGTTCGAATCACAACGTTGAAATCAGCGCTGCCGTTCAGTGAAAAGTAACCAAGACAGCCAGAATAAGCGCCACGCGGTCGATGTTGTTCCAATTGATCTAGTAACTGCACAGAGCGAAGTTTGGGTGCACCTGTCATTGAACCTGGTGGGAAGCATTTCCGAACCGTCTGCACGCTATTGACGTTCGGTAATAGCGTGCCACGTACCGTGGATACAAGATGGTGTACTTTTTCATATGTCTCGACGTGCATGAGTTTGGGGACACGAACAGTGCTGGGATCACATACTTGAGCAAGATCGTTTCGAATCAAATCGACAATCTTTATAAAAAAAATCAGCCAACAGAAGCTTTGAAAATTCATAGAAACCATTCATTCCTATACCATAAGATTTTCGGCTCGTTCCTTGACATCTTGCCATAAAGTTTGCTTCCGTTGCTCGTCTTCGTCGATATAGCAAAATCCATCACAGGTCTCATCTTTGCACGCACATGCCAAGGCACGGCCCACTGTGCCCTTGATCGGCTTCATTTCTGCAACACCCGCCGTGGATACGCTCAAGAACCGTTCAGGACTCGAGCTCAACAGCGTCATGCCGCAGACAGGGAAACGCAACAAGGCAGAATACGGCGCTGGGTTGTTCTTGCGTAGATAGTGGGTATACAATCGCGTCAAATCGTTGGATCGCTTGCTCAGCTGGTTTTGGTTGCAGCGGAATCGTGTGGTCAAGCATAGCTCGTACGATTCACCTTGGCCGATTTCATGGATACATCGATCAATAGCGTGAACATAGTGTTTGTGTTGCATGTCTGGCGTAAAAAGCGACTCTTGATCAATTTGCTGTGACACTGTGTTTGTTTCCATGGAATCGTCTTGTGTCATGGATACTGTTGCTGCCTTGGTAACAGCTTGTGTTGCCTCGTCTAGCCAAGACTGAGCTTGCTCCTCAGTTGCAAATCCAACGTCGTTGTATGGATGGCCACCGATTCCACCAGCAGTAGTGAGTTTGACCAAGCAGCACGCCTCAATTGTTTGTGTTGCATGATCGAATTTCCAAAAGCGGTCAACGAATTGGAAGCCTGCGTCAGGCTCACGCATGCATCGACAGTGATTAGCATCGGGATGTTGCTGGCACTGTTGTTCGATGGGCGTAACATATCCTGCCAAGCTTTCGCGTTTCATTTCATAGCCAAAGTAGCCAATGATACCACCACAGAACGTTGCTGCTGCTTCTGATGATTTGTTCTCCTCTTCCAGCTGAAATTGAGACAAGAGATCGGAAATGTACGTAAAGTAGTCTTGGTTTGCAGTGAGTTCAACAGCCCATTCAGCATTGCCGCTTCGATTTTGGAACGTGATGCGTCGATGAAGAGTCGAGTAGACCATGGTGAATGCTGGATCGATAGACAATACTGACATGTTGGAATAACTGGATCCTTTCTATACAGATTAACATCATGTAAGGTAAATTATGACCAAGAGATGTATATTTGTTCTATCAAATAAAAAAGAAGAGATGAAACGTACCCGACTACTGTCAAGCCAACCCACAGTATTCGTGTTATTCATTTGCCCCAGCACATGTTCTGCGTCCACCCACACAGACATTTTTCTTGTCAGTAGTCGATGGGTTGCTAGGCTACTTGATATTTGTTCATGCTCATGATCACCAGCAGCAGCAGCAGCAGTAGTAGTGGTTGGTGTAGTTGTGCATGACATGGCACGTACTGCAGGGTCCAATGGAACGCTGAACGAAATGTGTACATCGGTTCTCTAGAAAAACAGAATTGACATTCTTTTTTAGTAAAAAGATCAAAAGGCTGTCTTTGTGCAAAGAGATGCCTCCTCACCTGCTGATACCATTTCATGGATTCTATGGCAAAATTACGCATCATCCGTACGCCATGTTCGGTCGATACTGATTCAGGATGGAACTGTACACCCCACAATGGCAACGTTGTATGCTGAAAACCCATTACGGTCATACGAACGCTTGAGCCATGGCCATTATTTGTCGTAGTACCATCAGGATTCAGCGAGAGCGGTCGTTGCAAAAAATGATGCCGATCATCGTCCTGAGCATTATCCGAACAACCATCGGCCAGGTATTTCGAATTACGCAACGCTTCTACATCATCGTCGTTTTCGTAACAGTAGGCTGTTATCTTGAGCGATTCGGGAAGTGCTAAAGAAGTAATTAAAAGGCATATTTAGAGCGGATCGAGAAAAAAAGGGAGTGTTTTATCCAAGTTTCTTTACATGCTGGATCAACGACCAAAGAGTGATACCGCACAGCCCAGAACGGCAAAGAGCAATTGGCAAATACAGAATTTTGAGTTTCAGTGACGTGAATTTGCGACATACGACCATGCATGATGCGAGATGCATAGGTGACTTTTGCCCCTAGAATATGGGCAATGCCTTGATGACCCAAACAGATTCCGAAAATGGGTCGGTGATACTGAGATTGTGCAGGATCCAATTGCGCTTCAAGAAGCGGAGTGCATATTCCGAAATCCTTTGTATCTTTCATGTAAGGTTTCTGGTGCGACAAAGAAACAAGAAAATAGAAAAAAAAAAAAAAAAGATCGTGGTATAAACAAAAAGAACACCTACAGAGGTACGTTCAGGTCGTCCGGGACCTGGAGATATGATGATGTTGTGGAAATGTGGAAGGATATCTTGCTTAAACTGGGTCCTAGATGATCGCTTGTTTAGTGTTGAAAGATAGAAAGCGTAGGGTGCCTGAGGAGGGTTGGAAGGAAAAAGAAAAAGTTACCATGTAACCTGATCGTTACGAATGACAACGACATTGGCCTGATTATCACATAATTGCAGTAAATTAAAAGTGTACGAGTCGTAATTGTCGATAATAAGGGTCTTTAAACTGAACAGATCAAGATGCGTAGGCATTGTCTGTTTAGAAAAAAAAAAGTCAAAAACCGATATATCAGATAGAAGAGAGAGAGAGAGAGAGAGGGTCGCTAAATGTTTTTCCACGGAATACTCCACACACGTAAATGTTATACCAGATCCGCCACCGAGTCAGAAACAGAAAAGGTGCAAGCACTGTAAGTCTTTACTTGAGGTGTCATGTTGAGTCATCGTCTCCTCATTGTATAGTCACTGCACTTATAACTGGATACATTCATTGCTAGTGTACATAAGCTATTATTGTTTCTTTGGATTTGGATGTGTACATGCTAACATACACATAAAAAAACTAAAAGGACCTTCCACAAGTATTTAAAGGAATCTCAATTTTTTTTGATGTTCGCTTAACAGGAATAGAAATTTTTATACTACTTTCCAAGAGAGATGGGAGAGGGAGAAAAAAAAAACAAGTAAAAAAATAAAGGTTGTTTGTGTGTGTGTGTGTGTAGGCCGGTGGGAGAGAAAAAGGTGGGGGGGGGGGAATGGGGAAGAAATAAGCGACCGTGTCTTTATGGACCGATAGGCTCATAGGACCAGATTCTTGCGCGATTGTCACCCGAGCCAGTGGCAAACAGTGGTCGTCTACCAGGGCTCGTTGCTACGGAGATGACTGGGAGAAAGCATCCGACTTTAGTATGCAGTAAGTACATCCTCAGCGAACGTATCGAGTCGCAACTCTTCTTACCTGAGTTTTTGTGTCCTTGCAGCATGAACTGGGTCTGTCCGGTATACGGATCCCAAAACTGAACACCACGATCCTTTGATCCAGACACGATCCAGTTGCCATCGGGCGTGGTTGCGACCGACAGGACAAAATCCTTGTGGCCAGTGAAGACTTGCTTGCAAGGATTCTTTCCACGTTCACTGCTATACATGTTGTTGGTAGCCAGTTGCCACATGCGGAGCGTCTTGTCCAAACTGCCGCTCACGAGCGTCTTGCCATCGGGCATAAATGCAACCGAATACACGCTGTCCTTGTGGCCTTCCAATCGCTCAAGCACCTGACCTGTCGTCGCATCCCACACGCGTACCACCTTGTCCAAACTACCTGCGGCCACCAATCGACCGTCCGGCGAAATTGCCACACTCGTCACGCCTATGATCCTTTTGGTCGAGTTCTTGGATGGGTAGCACGTGGATGCAGCGACTCTCGTTCCAATCCCATATCCGTGCTGTGCGATCGCCTGAGCCCGATACAAGGAAGCTGCCGTCGCGACTGAACTCCAATGAATAAATGTCTTGGTCGTGGCCTTGAAGAACGCGACGAATACGCTTCTTTTGGATATCCCAAATCTACACGAAAAGATCATAGGTTTTTAGCTTCTTTTATACTTCTTCCAAATTTCCCATGCAGTAGACTTACGCGAATCTGTTTATCTTCTGCACCCGTTGCCAAGTGCGTGCCATCGGGGTTGAAACTGACTGAGCGAATGTACAAATCACCTTCTCTGCCGGCATTTTCATCTTGCAACACCCTAGTAGAAACATGATTGATGCAGTGTGAGACTAATTGGAGACACCCATTCATGTTGTGAACTTACGCAATACGTGTGGCAGAGTAGGTGTCATAGATATAAGTGGCTTGATTACAACCAGCAGCAAGATAGCGCCCATCATTGCTGAACTTGACGCAGCACACTACGCTGCCGTGATCGAATGTATGCACCAAATCAACTTTTAAGCGTCGCTGGACCTTTGGGTTGAATCTGATAACCGTTGAAAATCAGTCCCTATCTTGAAACTTGAAAAGCATCCATAGAAAAAGACTACTACTTACAAAGCAAACCAGTCTTGTCCTTCCACTTTCATATTAGGCGGTACTGCTTCTGGGTCCATATCGGCATAGCCGCCCACCATGCTGGGATTGCCACTGGCACCGCCTAGAGGTCCAGCTCCGGGCGGCTTGGAAGGATTAGCTCCCGGACCGCGTCCAGAAGAGACCATTTGATCTAGATGAATAAACAGAAAAACACGTAAGCAATCGATGAATTATAAAGCGGGCTATAGTCACACACACGCGCGCACACACACACACACACACACACACCCATTGAACATGAAATGCAATAACACACACGCACACACAAATACGCGTCTGATTTATCTTTAGCAGAATTATCAAAAATAGCGAGTATATTTACTTTGAGGAGGCGGGGGAGTACTAGTAGGATGTGGAGCGCCGCCATTGAGATAAGGAGGGCCGGCAGACATGGGCGGAGGAGGACCACCATGTGCGCCAGCGGGTGGAGGTGGAGGACCACCAGGGTAACTTGGATGGTGTACAGGCTGGTTTGATTCCATCATTGCAGGAGGCGGAGGTTGCGCGTAGCCGCTAGGACCTATTGGAAAGGGTTTTCCTTGTAAATTATTATTATTTTTTTTCAATCTATACAAAACGCGAGTATAACACGTCGCGGACGCGTCTTTTATAGCAGTAACAAGAGCGAAAAACACTTTACCACCATAGCCACTAGCAACAGGAGGAGCGCCGTGTTGAGAATGTTGTACCTGTGTGTGTGTGTGTGTTATCCAATCGTGTTAGCTCAAATCCTCATCTATTTTCCCTATCGACACTGGTGGCAGAGATGTATTTTCAACATAGACAGCCCTCACACTCCCATTCTTTTTTTTTTTTTACCTGTTCCAACTGTTGGCGAAGTCGTGCAATCTCCTCTTCGTACCTATCATAGCAATTACAAAATACCAATTTAACAACAATTCTCTTTTCGTCTTCCAGCTGTGTGTTGCTAGTTTTAAACATTGAGTCCGTACTGTTTCTTGATGATTTGTTGCATCCTTTCCATTTCCATAAGGCTCTGCTGAAACATATTCATTTCTTGTATTTGGCTGTTCACTATAACAAAATAGAATTCATTCAATTTTAATTCTTCAAATCCTCCCGTTCTTTGAACGCAACATCACTCTCCTCCCCAAACACTCTCAATATTTACTCTTGTGTTCGAATTCGTCCCGTTGGCTTTTGCACATTATGGCGTCCTGCGTAAGCTGGTCAAATTCCGCTCTGACTGCATCGAGCAGTTCAATGAGACGGTTCTGGGTTGGCGGGACCATAGGGCGATGGTTGTAAACAGACATTGCCTGTTGTCGTTTAATGCGGGACAGTGTAATGTGGGTCCAAATTAGAAGAATTGAATCGAAGAAAAGAACAGATTGTTTGTTTGGTTTTTTTTTTGGAGAAAAGGAACCTTACTCTTTAGGTTTAAAACCAAACGGTCGGCAGGCAAAGCTTAAGAACAAGGGGGGGGGGAAAGGGGAGGGGGAAGAAGAAGAGCTGTATTATACTCTGTTCAAGTGTCCTGTGGTAGTTGTGTGGTTGTGGTGTTGTAGTGGTGGTGATAATAGTGGTTGTGGTGGCAGCGTAGGTGTTGTAAGCGATGTAGCTACTAGAGAGAATGCGCGGATGAGCTTTAACTGTGGTGGTGTTGTTTTAGATGGGTGGAGTGTTGATGAACGATAAAACCGGAAATGAGTGCGTGATAGAAAAAAAGAAGAAGGAAAAAAAAAAGAAGAAAGAAATAGGGTGGACCCGTCCTATTCAGTTGCAGCAACCAACCGAAGTGAAGAAAAGAAAAAGAGCTAATAGCACTGAGAAAGAGTGTGAGTTTTTTTTTTTTTGTGTGTGTGTGTGTGTGTGTCGTCACAGCAGCAGCTGCTGCTGAGTGAGCGAACAGAAAAAAAAAAAAAATTCTAAAAAAAAATGGGGGAGGAGTATCTGTTTTTGGGGGGTGTGGGAGAGAATTGATTGGTTGGGGGGAGGGGGGTTGAATCAGGGTTTATGATGCACTCACTGAAAAGAATCCCACCCCCCAAGAGTGGAGTTTGCCACCAGAGGCATCCGCAACGGCCGGTATTCTTTAATCCGACACACTCGTCCAGTCGTCACTCGTCCGGACTCGGGGGAGGAAAGGCACCCACCCACTCACTCACTCAGCTTCCCCCCACCACCCACCCTCACTTAACGTATTTACCCACTCGATTATGGTTTTACGCGTGGTTGTGCCACATAAACATCGGCCTTGGTGTAACGTGGTTCATGTACCCAGTCAGGTCTAGTTTGCTACTAGTAAGTATTACATAGCCACCACCTGCTGCTTTGCTGCATCGTGCACCTTCCCCCTCTCCCGCGCCCGACAGCGGAGAGAGAGAGAGCTAAGGAAGGGATGATGCTTCCTCACTCTCACTCTCTCCCTCTCTCTCTCTCTCTCTCTCTCTCTCTGTGTTTCCCTCTCTCTCTCCCCCCCACAGCATACATGCCTAGTTGCAACACAGGGATTACTATGTGTCGCTCAGCATTGACAACACCAAAGACAGACCAGGACGAGAACTATACACTGCTTGGTTACATACAGCCCCAAAAATAACAGTGTGTAGAAGACGAGTGTCCGGACCTTCTCGAATACGGGCATCTCGCGTTCGAGTTACACGAAAAACAAAGCCATGGCTGATGACCCCAAACTCAAAACCTCTTCCATCCAAAACACCTTTGGCTGTATTCACAGCAGTGTCACAAGTAAAAGGATGGGTCGCAGATTTCAGATGGATCTTGTAGACCCTGTTTTGATAGAATCACCCAAAATGGCCTAGCGTCCTTTTTTTACGTTCCGCACTGCTTCTACGTTTCCATGACGAATTCACGAGATATCATACGTAGCATAGCAACTTGGCGCGGTGCTGCTGGTAATATGTCCAGAAGATTAAATATCCTTATCTCTCTAAAGTACACATATTACATATTCATGGGGTTTTACTTGGTTTATCGCGTTACGGACTTTTTGACGGTGTGTGTGTCACTCTCAATGTCACGCTGACTTCTTTAAGCTAATATTTTCATTGCTGCATCTCTATCAAGTCCTCAGTTTTCACTGACGGTTTTGACGTAATCTATACTCTATTCGATGTCCCCACTCAAACATGCTTAATGATAAGCCAATTACTCCAGCAGAAATTTCCCTTGATACTAGTGCATCAAACCGTTCTAACGATCGTTGAATCGGATGCGACATTGAATCCTCCCTGTAGCTGTTGTTGTGCAGCAGCAGCAGCACTTTGATTATCTTGGGTGGTGTAAAAATGTAAAGGACAGGTACGCACGTATACTATATCTCTGGATTTGAAAAGGCATTGGGCATCATCAAATAAGATTGTTTGTTGATAAGGTGCATGCCCTCATTAATATCAACTGCCAAAAATTCCGCATATGGCTAATAACTACAAACATGGTTCATCTGGCTATTTATCTTTTATTTTTCTGTATTGCTGCACACGTACGCTTCGGACGCCTCATGGGCGGGCTACCGTATATGATGATAATGGTTCCCGACCTGATATAAAATTTATTAGGCAATGTACCTATTAGAACCACCCCTTGAATATTCTTTTGGTCTAACAAAGCATACCAAAAATAGTACAGCATTATTTATAGAGGTATTTATGGTTTTTTCTTAGAGCACAGTAGTACGTACGGTAGCATGATGAATTCTTACAGTGTAAATGGAGATGTTGACGACGACGATGATGATGATGATGCCACTTTTTGATGGCAGCGATGATAACAATGTTGATAATGTCACAAGAAGCGAAAAAAAAAAACAGGAGGTGAAGAGCAAGAAGAAGGGTAATGTGAGAAAAGTATGCGGGTATTATAGACGGCGTCACCAGAGATGCATAATAATAGGACGATCAATGCTGTTGTTGCTGTAGATAGTGTTGCAGAGAGCCTCTTGACGAGGCCAGAGTGACATGACTTCTGTAAACAGGTGGTGGTAAAGATAACATTGAGCGTTCGTGCTCTTCCATGGAAGGTGGGCCGATGTCGAGTATCAGATCCTGAGATATTGTGTTATACATTGGCAGCCCCTCCTCTTCTTCGTCCCTTTGCCGATGAGTACTCGAGCGTCTGTCGATGGCGTTGTTGATCCGTGTAATTTCAATGATGAGAATAACGGCATCGTTCTTTCGACTCTTTGCTGCTGCCGTCGAAAAGTCAAATGATCTTTCGATATCTCTTGGTGACCGATAGTCCCATTTGAGTCGATGACTCGTATCCAAAACCGTCATGTTCTTGAGACACTCGTCAAGTTTTTCATAGAACTACATGAAATAACGTGTTGAATATGCAATGTATGCGTGAAGGTATTTTTGTTGTTACGACCGCTTCGGGTCGCTTAACCACCGAGAAAACACAAAAAGTCGGTGACTCCCTGTTTTCATTGCTACAACGTTGCAATTCTTTCTCATAAACTAACCTTGCTTAATTTGATAAAATACAATCCTCGGCGTCTTGCAGTCCAACATGCTATGATTGCAGGCACAACAAGAATACAAAGCGGGTACCAAGTTTCGATGGACAGCTCCACTGCAACAACGGCAAAGATAGCGGCGAGAATAACAAGTACCATAGCAAGTACAAACAAATATGTGTCAAGCCATACATGTGGAAAGTCAGTCGATACAAGCTGCTTTATATTTTGCATTCGAGATTCAAACAGCTCTTTTGGCATCTACAACATGTATACATTTTTTTTATAGAGTTTGTCATTATCATTAAATTGTATCCATGCAAGCACCTATCATTATTGGAACGTACAAGAAGAACCAGCAGAGGAACGAAAAGGTAGACGACATACAAACCTCCGAAGCTGTGCATAGTCGTCGTACTCACAATGTCTTAGAAGGGCCGGTCGCCACCGGCTGTTGATTATAACAAACGATGCCAAAGCCATGACATCAAAGTAGAATGTTGTATAAGGAAAAAGAAAAGATCGATTGCAAAAAGGAGGAGAACGGGGGGAAAAGAAAGAAAAGGTAGTATTTCATTAAAAGCCACAGAGCACACTAGGACCTATTTTTTTCCAGCAGGGTGTTGGTCTTTTAACCTGCTCTATATACAGCCCTTTAATTTAAAGAAATTCAAGAAGCCACTACTGTTGCTACACGCGTCTTATCCTTACTAAGCCTACTACATATGGACACGCCAAGAACCGCTATCCCCATCATCATGCATGGGCCTGCATTCACCGTAGAAGGGTTCGCCTTAAAATTTGTGTATCAAGAGACTCACTGATCGACATCCATGTTATTATCTATGAGTATTCACTAAGAGAACAATAAATGGTCATATGAGCTTATTTAGAAACTGATACAATAACTACGAGTCGCACTTTATCGTTTCTGCGTTTTCTTTTCTTCTAGCGTTGAGACTCAAGAATCTGTAATTGTCGCTCTATTAATACACATTGACAATCATATGCATGGATGAGCTTTTCTCTTCTTTTTCTCGTGCCCCGTAATGCGGCCAAGCAAAAGAAAAAGTGCATACGCATGCACAACGGCTGTTTTCTTGATTATCTGTTGACATTTGCACCAAAAGCAAGCCAAAAAAATTGACTCCGGTATATACACGCCATACGATAAGAGCTCTTCAATTTTTGTATAGTTTCGCAGTGTTGCTGTTGTCATTGAGCTGTACGTGTGGCGCTAGTAGATGACATACAAGGGATCTACATGATTACATTCGATTCTTTGAATTTATATATACTGGAACTGGATATGATACATTTTTTAAAAGCTTACTTTATGTGACTACGATTCACATATCGCCTCATACGTACATATCATAGACACAGAGGAAGAGATAAGATTACTATCTCTCCTTCGGAGACGCCTGATAGTGCAGTAGGTATGCGTAGATACATAACATGCGAATCACCGTAATCTTCACGATATGACATGCATCGTGAGCCGACATCAGTATGCATGATGTATGCAGAAGGCTTCCGATAAGCACTGTTTGAATAATGGATGTTGTCCATCTAGCGAGAGCATATTTTAAATTCAACATTAAAAGTACTGTTATTAAAAACAACAGCTGATCTGTTAAGTAAAGTATACTAGTATCACAATAAGTTTTGTAATTTGAAGTGTTTTAAAAAAATGATACGAAATTTAGAGCATGCCGCTCTCTTCTGCGTTTTTCTTTGTCTATCTAAAAAAGGCAATATAACAGTAAAAAGTATCTATATTACCTTCTTAAACAGATTGCTTCGTTGGTTATCCTGTCTGTCTCAAAGTATAGGAAGAGGATAATCATTACTTGTGGTTAGCTACCATAGAGGAGCAAAAAAAAACCTATAGTCACACACTTTGCTACTGTTGCTGGTACCTTTAATTCACCGTGAACCACGACAATCATTGCTTTAGTAAAACAGTAATATGCAGCTTTTACATGTAGTATGAACATGCGATATCTCATCCGAACTAGTAGTACTTAGTATGTAGTCCTCTCTATACAGCAGAGGGTGACAAAATGACAACGTACACCGTTTTCCCGTGTTATACTCTCTGCTGAGACTTGTATCATCCCTCTCACGTTTTGATTGTTTATATTGTTATACTTGACGCCAATGTCGTGATATATAATAGCTGTATGTATCGCAGGAAGGAAGGACAAGCTTTGACAATGAATTCATTATACTTTTCGAACAAACTTACATAGCAGAAACAAGTAAGGGTCTTATTTAGAAATCGTCGTGTACGTTGTTGGTGCTCATCGCTTATTCTGGTTTTTTGGGAGCTTATTGACATTACTCCTTGTTGGTACTCCATTACTGCTACTGATGCTAGCTGACAGATTAACATGTTTTATCCGTTTCAAGTGAGTTGTATTAAAACTTCATTACAATTCATACAAAGTCTGAACACAAAGCAGCCTTTTAGGCTCTATTTTGAATAAATCCAAGCAAACCTACACATATTTGGAGATATATCGCCACAGCCACCGCTGTCATCCGGATTTCTCTACTTGGCAATACACACATACACATATGTATATATAATAGCAGCAGAATTGATGGTTTGTTATATAATCGCTGCCTTTTTATATTAGCTTGTGTAATATTTGTGTAAGAGGGGCTTAGTGCACACATGTATTTTTATAGTATTATAATAGTTAAAAAGGCATCTGAGTGAGGTTATATGATATCACATTCAGTATGTATGCATCGTAGTATTTCGTCCTTAAACAAAGCTAGACCATGCTTGACGTGTTTGTTATTGTCGCTTTTAAGATCATCACTGAACTTCATATGAATTTGCACGTACTTCATTTCGAAAAAGGAAGGCACTGTAGTACTTGAAGCTTCGCATCAACTCAATTGAGATCGTATTTAAATGGAAAAACGCACAGAGCAGTATACAATGTTGTACACGGCGCTCGAGAAGCTCGACTACAACAATGACTTTGGATGTTTACAACTTTATCCTTTCCATTGCTTGTGCAACGCACCACTTACGCACATTTGACAAACCACCATTAACAAGACATATTCCCACTAGACTCAATAATAGTTTAGCCACCAGTAACATTATTATGTAGTGATTTGTACAGTAGCTCAATTTTTAAAATCTGCTAAGAATGCCACTCTTAAAACTACATGAGGTTTGATCATGCTTTTTGCAAGGAAACCATTATCACAAAAAAGAAAACATTCAAAAGCTATAACGTATAAGTCTGGCGAGTTCTTCATAATACTGACTATTCGTAAGCGAGGACCATCTTTTAGCAGCCTAGATACTGTAACAAATGACAGTTTAGAGTATATCTTTCCCCATCCGTCTTACATATGGCTTCACAGCATCGACCGGAGAAGTCATTTACCAGCGGTGAAATCCGTCGTCGGATGAACATTATCGAAAACGAAAGCACCCCACCACTCTTCAAGTACTTATTGTAGCAATTATTGGTTTCAGTAGCATAGGTTGAGTAGTACTGCAGCGATATAGGCTTGGAAGCTATACATTACAAGGCGAGAAAAATAGCAAGTGCACTACTACGAAAATGTTGCTTATCTCCTTCAAACGAGCGGTACGAAAAGTTACCTGCTGTACATGGACAAGTCTCGATATTTTGTTGTTCTTCTTTTTATTGATTCATTCATTTAGCATATTTTTGTGATGAAAAACCAAACATTTCATTTGACAAAGGATTCTCTTATATGCGAGTGAATGACGTAATAGCATGTGTGCTTTCATGTAGTAGCTGTAGCACCAGCGCAGTATATGATAATGAATGATGAATACAGTAAGTCCTGTTTATTTGCACCTCCACTTTGTGCAGCCTTTTCCCATGAGAAACCGCTACTGGAAAAAGAGGAGGGTCTACTGTTATCGTCACTTTGTTCTGTTAAATGAAAATTCTAAGAAGTGGGATGCAACTTGTCCAGACATTGTCTGTGCGTATAATGAAAATTTTGATCTATTTAGTTATGTGGTCCGCCTAGAAAATCAAGCTAGGAATAACAGGGCCTTTTTTTGAATTACCACGGTAATGCGGTGACCTGTCAATGTAAACATGTTACCAGCGACAGGTCGTAGTACAGCAGATGATCGCCGCTGTGTGACCATAATCATTATCATCGATCAAAGTTTGTCAAGCACAATCCGTAGTACTAGTAGTACACGCTAACTCATGAAGCACGAGACGACAAATTTAAACAAGTTCGTGGCATGACGGAGCATTATTGAATTAGACAATAAACATTCAACTGATTAATGCCACTTTGCTAAATCGAAAAATCCTCACGCCCCGGTAGCTGCTGCTGTTCATGGTCAGTCGGGCTTTAATGCGGGTCGATCCATTTCGTTTAAGGGATCGACGTGTACGACCTGATCCGTTTTTGGTAAAATATAGTTTTCTCCCTTGCAAAACGGTTGCCTCCAAGCAAACAAGTAGGTTTATTGCAAGGTAACCAAAGAGACACCAGTATTCTGTCTCTAATACTAGCACTTATTACAACTGTCCCTACTACTCCAATTTGTCAATGCACTTGTCCAAAACAACAATGATAGGTCTCGGCGTCGGACTTGTAAAAAGAGGGAACAAGTGTTGTGTCACCCTGGATTGGTTCGCTTTATTTCTGTGAAAAAGAGGGGACGAGCTATTTCGGTGTGAAAAGTTATTGTTAATATTATTTTTGCTGTTAATACGTACTGCGTGCGTGTCCTCCATGACTATACATCGTTTGTGTACATTCGTTTTTATTTTTTTTGCCGCAATCGCACCTTGTCTTGTAGTAGTATTTGCACATGACAATGTCGAATTATCTCAAGACGACGAATTCTTAATTACAAAATCCTATAATCGCAACCACGACCAGAACAACAGCAACAGTCATCACAACCACAATCACCACAACCATGACACTGATCGGTACCATGAGCACGACGACAGCGACGACAGTAAGAACGTTTATCGCCAAGTAGAAGTACAGCACGAGACCCATGAAATATACCCCATTATTGCCGATATCTCTTCAGCAGAGTTCCAAGTATCGACTTCGTCCACAGGTGATGATGATAGCAGCAATACGGCTTTGAAAGATCAAGAGAATGAAGGACAGAACACACGACCTGGCAGTGCTTCGCTTACGGGTAATGACGACGGCACAGTGTCCAGCGCCAACTCGAACCGTACACCGGATTTCTCCATGGAAGTCAGTGAACACGTTCGAGTCGATTTGTTTTGTATTATCGACCCATCGTTCTGCGAACGGGTGGCAGTGTCATTGAGGGATGCTGCAAGTCAGTTCAACCAGGTGGTCAATGTTAAGAATGATTTATTGTAAGTAGTTTCAAATAGCTAGACACACACATTTATGTATCCGCATTATATATACTCGCTATGCGCTACTGACACAGAGCCTCTTCTTTTTTGTGGTCTAGAATACAAGCTACGTACTACAGCTTTTGTGAAAAGGGATGCGCAAATAATACGTTTGGATGGGGTGCCCCTTCTTCGCAGGTAAGAAAAACCGGATGACGGCAGAAAGAGAGAGAGAGAGAGAGAGAGAAAAAGAAAGGAGACTTTTCATGTGTATACATTTTATGCATTGCAACTCATGCTTTCGTTTTTCTTATATTCATGCTAATACAACAAAAAAATCATACGCACATTAGTTCACACTTCCTTTTGAAGATGGTGCAGACTTGAATTACATTTATCCGCAAGCATTGGCGAAGCAACTGGCACCGTACAGCAATACGTCTGCATGGGCAAACCATGATATTGCTATCGAAATTAATCACGACGTATACATGAACTCTATTAACTTTGATAAGGCGTATAATGATGGATGGAACAACACGGGTGTTCCTCCAGGGGGATTGTATTACTTCCAGGCAAGTGTTATGATGCGATTAAGTAGGAGTGGAGAGGCGAGTATCGCGCAAGAAAAGTTTAAATTAACGTTCGTCCTAACCGGAAAACAACAGAACGATACGATTACAGCGGACCAGGTGGACATACGATACATTATCCTCCACGAGATCCTACATGGACTTGGGTTTATTAGCTCATGGGCAGCATATTTTGCCAATGAGGCCTCACCATTTCGATCACTTATTGATGGGATCATTGATCCAGACGAACTGCAACTCGTTACACCGAGTCCATACTGGTACATCAAACAGCAAACCGGTCCCATCTTTGTCACAGGGTTCCAGCCAACCATGATATTCGATAAGTTTCTGTACATCAGCAACCCACAGAGCAACACATCGCGAGCCGAGTCGCTTGCATCGATTGGATTTGACATGCAAAATTTCTGTGTACAGGACAATCAGGCCTTCATCATCAACTTTGTGCAGGAGTTCAACCGGTCAAATCAATCACGGACGGCCAACCGGCTATGGACATCGATGGGTGAAGAAGGTGCTTTGACGTTCCATTTCCCGCCTGTTGCTGTGGACAATAGCTCGTATATTACAAACCAGTATCTGAACCAGACATACACGGTGCCAATGAAGCTACTGACAGGTGACCAAGCGCTGACGTCGCACATGGAACTCTCGGACCGAAATTTCCGACCTGGTATTTCGATTTCTCATCTGGAAGGTTCATACAATAACACGCCAGATTTTATCATGACTGCTTCATACATTCGTGGCGAACGGCTCGAAGATATCATCGAGGAAACGTACAGCAATGTGCCGGTGATTTATTACAATGAAACGGTCAATGGCACCACCACACAGCATGAGTACAAGTCGGCGATCGGCCCAGGTGTTTTACGCATGCTCGACTCAATGGGGTACAGCACTGTGCTCAGTAAAACCAACTACACGACAACCGGAAATGTCAAATCGGGTAAAATCCCGTCCATTTGTGATGACAAAAACAACAACCATGGCATGGCGCAGGCTTCCAAGACTCCAACAGCATCGGATGCAGCTGCATCGTCCAGTATAAGCATTGGGGATGTGGCGTTGTGGGTGGTTGTGCTGTCATCGGTTCTTTTGTTTTGAGTGGACAAACACACGCCCCTTTTTCTCCTCCCCTACTACTCTCTTCTTCTTCTTCCTATCTATCTCTACCGCTTTATATATACATACTTACATATATCATACACTCTCACATATATACACTTTCATCACCATCCACATTCTCTTCTGTTCTTCTCAACTGAACCCCCCCGAAATAGCCCCTCGCTCGAAAACAACAACAACAACAACACCAACTCCTTCTTCATGATTCATGACGCTTGTATATTTTCTTTTGTCTTCTTCTCCTTAACTGCCTCTTATTTTGTTTGTGTTTATTTGGTTCTTTTCTCTCTTACATGATCTTTGCAGCAACAAAATAACGTTTGTTTTTATTTGGGATCAGTTATCAAGATGATGTTGTTATCAATCTGGTACATGATATTAAGATTGATAGGATTCTCTTCTATCATAAAAAGTACTTCATATCATCAATGCATAATCATACAGCCAAAAAAAATACATGCAGTATTTGTACATATACAGCAGGAAATGCTACTTAATTGAACAAAACAAATGCTTTTAAGCATGAAAGGAGCAGAATGCATGATGGAGCATGAAAAAACATGTACATCTTGTTTTTATGACGGTCTCTCACTGTATCATTGCTGATCCATATCAAATTGTCGTCCTCGTTGTGTGTCTAGAACTTGCTTTTGTTGTACTGTACATTATACTATATGGTACTGAACCCGGTCATTCTCGGATAAACAAAACGGTGTCATGACGATGATGATGATGACGACAAGTTTTTGTTAGTATATAGAAGTTATCATCCACGATGGTAATCTGGGTAAAAACGGTTACTAGGTAACAAAGAGTAAATAGGTAACAGCAGGGGCGAGTCCTGTTTGGTTGCCACCCAACATATAAATAAAATTCATGCGTTGCCTAGGTGATAAATACACACACATATTACATTACATACATTGGTTAAAGAGGAGAACGGTTTTGTTGATGAAGGAAGGGGTGTGTGAGTGTGTTTGTGTTGGGGGAGTTGAACAATTAGGAGTTGGCAGTATAATCCATTATCCTATTACATACATACATCGCCGTCAAGAAGAGAGGAGAGGTATGAAATACTTGGGAGGGGGTAGTTGAAAGCAAAGTGTACTGGCAAGTCTATGAGTATACGTTTATGTAGTCCCATGGAGGAAGAATGACGCGAACATCATTAGGTTTCTAGCCTAAGCCGTCATTGGAGAGATCGCCGTTTCTCTTTTTTTGAATGTCACAGGGCATGTCCCCCCACTAGTACTCCTCTCTTTTTTCTTTTTTTTGGCAGTCAACAGCACCATCAAACATCAACAGTAAAAGCATTTATGATAGTTATGTGCGCATTATAAACAGCCTGGCTTATACTAACTTTTTCATAACTCCTTTTCCTGTCTGTCCTCTACCAACCCCTTTCATGCGTATCTTAACGCGGAGTATGTAAAAAAAGTATGTTTTTAGCGATCCGCATTTTGCAAGTCCTTTTTTCTTGTTTCTTTTTTTTTTCGCCACCCAAAACAGAATAACTGGAGTCAAAGATGTTCGTTCCATGCCGCTCTACGTTCCTCAAAACCAAATGGAGCAGCTTCTTAATGTGGCTCAATAACAACACCAACCATCATCGTCCATCACGAACAAACAACAACAATACGTATTACTGTACATTCTGCTCGGAACATGAACAACTACAACAACAGCAACAAGAGAATCCGTATTCACCTGCAGTGGCGTCATCGGTATCGCCACCCCCACAGTACTTTTCAAAACGACGAACAAGCAAATGCTCCAACGCAAGCGAATTTACAGCATCCAGCCCTCCAACACAGCAATTCATGTCTCTGTTCCGACGCAGGGCGTCGAACGCGTCTGAAGTGTCTAATGTGGAAATACAAAAAGATACAGAAAACGTATATCGCCTATACGAACTGGCTGTGGATGAGGTATGTAATAAGGTTCTCACCCTTCTCCCTTTTTATATCTTCTACACTCAGATTACATATTAGTTGCTGTTGTCAGATTCGATGATGTACAAAAATAACTTACCAGCAGGTGCTTTTAACAGGTCAACTTTGCAGAAGACTCGCGCGGATCAGCGTATTATGCTGGCGATTTGATCACAGCACGGGAGGCCATTGACGACTGTGCAGGCGCATTCATGCGTCTATTGCAGCAAATTCCAGATCACAGGCTGCGGACACAGTTGCAGTCCGCCATCACGCCAAGGCTGATAAACCTGCAAGAAAAGTTCAATGCGCTTCCACCTGAATCGTCGTTGATTTCGTTATCGTAAAAGAACAACAGCAATGCCGTCGTTCTCTTTAATACCATTCCACCATAAGTTCTAGTTTTTCTTCCTCTACTTCTTCTATCGTTATACATAGCTTTCCTTTCCTCCTCCTCCCTCCTCCCCTCCCACATCCTGCATATTTACTTGTCAACAATAATGTATGTATATAGTCTTCTTCTCAATAACAAAAGCAACCTCGCAACCCAACTAAACCAAACCAAACCAAAAAAAAGTACATATGTTTTTCTCTTCTCTCTCTTTCTTTCGATCGATCCGAAATCATGTGTTCCTGTCTTGTTACTCGCTTTTGACCATTACGCAGCATCAACTCTTTTCCTGTTTTGGAAGTTTTGTGAAACGTTATAACTGCATCACCCTAACACGCACGCAAGTCGCTTTTTCATTACTTTCTCTAACGCAAACTATACCCATACTTGGCACTGTGAAAAGCAATAACAACAACAACAACGAACATGAAGCTACTTGATTTGCCACTTGAGATCCTTATTGATAACATTCTTTACAATCTCGATGCCCAATCACTTGAACGACTCAGTTGTGCAAACAAAACATTACGTCGCTTGGTAGACGATGAACTGCTGTGGAAACACCGCGTGTTCGCCGACTACAATCTACCACACGATTCAAGCTTTCGTCATTCTGGATGGAAACGCCTGTATTCTAAGCTACAGGATTCTGTCGTATACACGTGGGGTGACAATAGTGATGGTCGTCTCGGTCACCCACCGCCTGCTACACCTATCAATATACGTTTCAGAAATAGGTATGATTTTTCTGCTTTCTTATCTATGATACACGTGTATCGTCTTTTCCTTTTCCTTTGCATATCTACCAACTTTCTTTTACAAATAAATAAAAAAAATAAAGGGATGTCTATGAGCTAATTGGGCAACATGGTAGACGTACCATGAGACAAAACTATGCATCGCCTCAGGAGCTCGTAGCTCTACGAGGCAAAGGCATTGTCGATATCTTATCAGGCGGATGGTCATTTCATGCATTAGATCGTCATGGTCGCGTCTGGTTATGGGGAAGGGTAAAAATACGAATAACAATAGCAAAAACATATGTCAACGTGAGAAAAAACACTTTTTGATAAAAGCTATGGGGATTCGTATGTTGTATGTATGATATGTAGATGCATGGTGACATGTTAGCTCGACTATCCCTAGGCGCACGGCTTGTTTCAGAGCCAACGCAAGTACAGCTGCCAAGCAGTATCCAAGCGATTTCATGCGGTCGATCCCATACGATTGCTCTGGCGCGTGACGGCGATGTATGGCATTGGGATAATTGGCAGGTTGTACAACGTATTCGTGTTGCCAAGCCAATCGTCCAAGTGGCTGCCAATTGGGGCTATTCCTCACTGCTTACCAGTCAAGGCGAGATACTGCGGATTAATCACCCCGAATCTGTCACGAACGAGGGCGACACTTTGTCTGACTTAGAGATCACTGAATCGGGTGTAACGCTGCAGAGCGTAGAAGGGAATGCCAAGGCTAATTCATTACCATTTAAACCGATCGAAAAGGGTGATAAAATCGTACAGGTACAGAAAGATTATAAGCGGAGAGGGCTGGGGGGTGTGCGTAGTACATACGGAACATCTTTGAGGGACTTAAAACTGATAGTGTTATTCTGTCAGATTGCAGGATTGGAAAAGTGCACCTTGGCATTAACGCGATATGGACGTGTATTCAAAATCCACACTGAGAATGCTGATGAACTATCCGTGGCATCAGCAAGCTTGACAACAGAGCTGACCAAATATGGTGCGACACAGCAAGAACTCAACGAACGCGGCCCAGGTAAAAAGATGCATCGGTTCGTCTCGGGCCAGTTTCGAAATTTCGCAGTCTATACAGCCCAAGGGAGCGTATTGCTAGGTCATCAAGATCATCCACCTGAACAGGATCCTGAGGTGCTGGAGCAATTACAACATGATGTCTGCAAAGTTTCATTTGGCGAGTAAGTGGATCGAACATTGTATAAAAAAGCTTAAAAATTCACTCTATCACGTTGTTGTCTTTATCTTTTGGATCAGTTATCACAGTGGAGCATTGACGAATCAAGGCCGTCTTTTGACATGGGGTGCGAATAGCAACGGAGCAGTGGGTCACGGTGAAGCTGGAATGTTTGTCGAGCCTAAAGAGACACCAGAAGCTATATCGACCTTGCGCAACATGTTTGTATTTGCAATTGGTTTCGGAGGATGGCAAAGTGGTGCCTTGGCTATCCCTCGAGATTAATCTTTTGGTCTTAAAGCCACGAAATATCTCCCCTTTCCTCTCAATAACAGGCAACTAGAAGACATTATTATTTCTTCTGTCAATGATGGTTTTATAAGGGAGACAATGTGTAGTGTATTGCTATATTGTATGTGCTATCAATGAATGTTTTTTAGGATGTGAGAAGGGTGGCAAATGGTAGGGGGCGGGTTGGATGAGAGTGGCGAGCAATAAAGAGGAAATATATCCTTTTCTTACTAAAAGAACATGAAGGGGAGAAGTGATAGGGAGAGTAGCAGATAGAGCGTTTGAGATGCGAATAACAACGATTACGACTGCTTGCATTCAGGTGCATTTTCACCCTTAGCAGGTTGCTATCATGTATAGAATTAGTATAGACTCCTTTACCATATTTTATATAGGAAAAAGAATCATGAAAACTTGTTCCATGCCTTTCTCACCTTTCCATCATCATCATCATCATCGTCATCATCATCACTTTCATCGTCGTCGTCATCGTCGTCATCCCCCTCGTTTTCATTGAAATCGTCCTGAAAACAATTAATGAAAGAAACATATCAGGACAATCAAGAAAAAGGTTTGCATATATTGCTTTTCACCAGATTATCACTCTTTCCTCCTTGTTCCTTCATTTTACCTCAAACTCGTCTTCGGCATTGAAGTCCTCATATTCTAATGCTTTGCCGGTAAAATAGTCGATAGCATGAGGGATGACTTTATCTTTGAACTCCTCGCCTAAATCAAATGATAAATGATAGAGAAGGCTGATCAGTATTACATGATACACAACACACAAAGAATTTTCTAATTTTACCAGTCTCATAGTCGACTTCTAGTTTGGCATCCAAGCCTTCTGCTTCCTCTTCGTCAAGCTCCGTACTGTCATCCGGGAATGATGGGGGACTGAAGAAGGAGAAGAACGTATCGGCAGGAACGGTACGCTTGACAACACGAGTCTTGTTTGTGCCTAACTATCCGGGTGAGTATAGAGACCATATATTATATGTTATATACCAGATAAGGGACTTATTGAGAGAGAGAAAAGGGGTGTGGGGGCAGGTGGTATTTTTAATTATTACCTTTGTGGCGCTGTTTCTTGGTCTCGACCTTAACTGTCAGATCTTTACCCTCCTTCCAATGGACGACACATCCTTCCGCGTGATCGTACACATAATCCCCACCATATGCATGTTCTTGGTAGTAGTACGTCTTCGTCAAAGTCTTATCGGAAAAGAATTCATTGTCGTCCGCAAAGTCAAAGTGGAGCTTAAAACCGGGCTTGTCCATGTACGACATGCGAATGTCCACCAAGTGTTTTAAAACCAGCTCGTCTTGGTCGGTGATACTCTCCGAGATTTGAGGATGGTTTTTCAATGCTGTCAACCAGAATTCAGGGATGCCCTTCATCGTGGTATCGTCTTGCTCTTGCTGTTGATGCTCCTCCTTAAACTTCTCCTCTTCTTTCTTTGCTTTTTTCCCTTCTTCTTCCTCTGTATCTTGATCCACCTTTTCGCCAAGAGCAACCTCTTCATCCGCTGGCTCATAGGTCCCCGTAATCACTTGAGCACGTTTAGTGTACAGTGGCGTGTACAGTGCAAGATACTTTTTCTCCAGTGCAAGTACTTCTTCTTGAAACTTGCCCTCAAGCTCGGCGTGCTGGGATTGGAAATGCTGCAGACCGTGTATGCGGCGCTTGACGTTGACAGGCAAAGATTCAATATAGTCGGAACGACGGCCGACAAGATTGCCAAGTTTGCCTTGAAGCATACTGATAAGTGCAGGATTGCTGGTAAATGCACCGGTCAGATTCGACGCTTCTGCGGCTGTGTTGTTGCTACCATGGTTGTTTTTGTTGCTGTCAACTAACAGATATTGTATACAAGAAGAACGGAGAAGCTTAGTCTACTACCAATTACTAGGTTAAAGAAAGGCAAAAAACGCGTATATACCCTTTGACTCCGTATCCTCCGAAATGCTAGATACGCTCGGACGATAATTGGAAGTAATGGGAGCTGGATTAATGGGAGTGTTTTGCGGCGTGGGAGCCGACAACTCTTGTTTTCTACTACTGTTGATGTCCAGGCGGGAAGCTATCAAAAAGTATATTAAAAGAAGTTGTCCGATGCATAACAACAATTTAGAATGCCAAAGCAAGCTATTTGAGGAGGAGGAAAAGGGAGGAATTCTACAAATGAGAAATAGTGGACATGGATATACCTCCTTGCTTGTTGTCCATGACGGGGCGGGCCTATGCGTAATATGTGTAATATGCAGGAAAAAAAAGAAGAAAGTGTGGAGTTGTAAAAAAGATGGGTGAAGCTTTCATTTATTCAATGAGTCAGTCAAAAAACACCGCGAACAACGATCCACACGCTGTGCTTTATCCACGTTATACATCCTATTAGTATCATCCCCACTCCCCCAAAACATTTTGCGGAACCACGACGTCGTACACTTGGTAGCATTCTAAGCAAGAAGACGGATGCTCTTGTTTGTATACATAGTAACGTACAGCTTGTGAGGTAGATGAATTGATTGAATGTAAAAGAGGTCACTGTTCTTGTTCCTAAATGTAGCCGCACTTGATGTCTACAGGTTTTGCAGCAGAAATTTGTATGCACATACATAGCTGCTCGGTCGTATACAGTATTAGAAAGTATGCATTTGGGATCACGTCACTCGTTTTTTCATAAACTACAGTATTGTCATGATCATATCCTGTAGGCAATACACTTATCCTTTTTAAAATAACTTGTTGTCAGCAATAGCGTATATATTGTAAATGCAACAAATGCCATGTGCATAAGTTTCACCCGTTTGAGGGTGGTAATGCTGTGTGAGATGATTAACGATATAATTGGAGGCACTATCATACCAACTTCTTAGTATGGTCAATTACAATTTGGAGAGGCTCTACTTCATTCTAACTACTTGAATACAGCTTATAGAACCGGTTTTATAAGGAAGTCAGTGAACATAAATACACACCAGTTTTGTTGTAAGCACGAAATAAGAATTGCGACTTGTAGAATATACACGAACAACATATGTGCGCGCTTACTTTTTTCCTTCTTGATGTTGATATCCAAAGAAGCGCATACTACTAGGCGAGGCTAAGTAAAGAGAATGTGGCAACTATCATACTTTACTATAACGATGGTGTTGACGATAACGATGTAGAATTATAGGTTAGCTGAGTACACCTATGACTGTTCATCAAAAATAGCGGATGGACTTTATAGTGTATTTTTGTTGGTCTAATCAATTGAATTTGTGGGGAATAAGAGAAAAATCATATGGGTTGACGTGGTCAAATCGTACTAATAACGGCAGAGCCGACAATTTTGCCGGCTGATTGTGTTAGGATACAGCATGTCAACTCGCATGTTCTCAACTAGCTTTCAAAACAACATCATTAAGCTAACGTATCAGAAAGCAACCTCATTTTCCTCTGTTCACAAGCAAAGGTAATGTTTTATCAAACTCAACTAGGAACTAATGAGCAATGATCTAATATATTCCTATATGGTAGAGAAATTTGATTGTTGTAAGACTCATCGCAGTGTTTTTAGTATTAGCAACTAGTACTCGGCAGCAGTGATTATCATGCTAGAGTTGGTATCTTCTCATGATGGCATGACAAAGTCATATGTAAAGGCATCATCATGTAAATATTGGCTGGTGCTAAGATTTCAAGTAGAAAGTGAAGGTGGACAATGATCTTGCATTATAGAAGCTAGTACTACTGTAACGAACGGCAAGGCAAACATACATATCACCACAACAGTCGCATTATTGATATATAAATTTATTGTAGTTAAGCAACTATCGACTGATTCTATGATTTTGCAAAGCACATGAAGAGCAGGGAGCACAACCAAAATCGTAACTTTTTTGTTGGTTGTGTGCCTGACACACGCCCTGGGCCTGTCGTGCTGGTGGTGGTGGTAGTACTACGACTTACACGGAAGCCCGTCTCAATTTTTCTAGGTTTTGCCCTCCCTCCTTCTTTCCTCTTGTTCTCTCTTTCTTAGCCTCTTTTCTAACGCTTGCTTCTCTCATTATTCCTGACTTTTCTCAAGGTTTCTGTTTCTCCACCTTTTCCCCATTAATCATACTTAAACTGTTTTAAAATTGCGATTGGGTGGTGTCTGTCATGCGGAAGGCAAGCTCCGTAATGAAAAAGACACTTATACCGGGAACCACTCCCGGTAAGGCATCTATGCCACATTCGACGACAACGGCGGAAGGCAATAGTAGTGGTAGCAGCACTAGTCATTGGCACGAACAGGACGATAGTAAAACGACCACGGCAACGACGACAAAAGCAGCACCTACTACTTCTGCTCCTGGTGCTACGACGTCCTCTAATACGACCACGTCTGCTAATGCTGCTGCTGCTGGTGACCAGCAGCGACGAGCTACTGGCAAAGACAACAATAGTAACAACCATACCGATCTTTTGGCATCTCAAGAATCGACAACAGCAATGTCAACTACAAGTGCAGAATTAGGACCTGATATTCCCATTTTGCCTTCCACGTCGACATTTTCGCTTGCTGGCAAAGATGACAAAGGAGAAAAACAAAGAAAGAAAGCAAAGAACTTTTTGGACGAACGTCAAAAGATAAAATCCAGAGCACAGAGTTTATGGAGCTATATTGGTATTTTAACGGCTATACATATCTTGTTTGACATAGTGATGGCTTGAGACTTAACAGGCTTATGCAAAAACATTTGTTTCCCAACAGATGCAACAAACACGTTTGATCAGGCGCGTTTCTTTCAGGAGAACGCCGAACAAGTATTCCATGTCGTCTATGAAACGTGTATGCATCACATCGAAAAGATCAAGCGTAAGCGAGAAAAATAAAGAAAACAAGCAAATTCGTGTGTGGATAGAAGAGGGAGGGAAATATGCGCGTCTCTTTCCCACCAACATAACGGTACTTTTCTTCTGTTTAAATAGAAAGAAGCGAACGTCCACAGTCATGGTCATCAAAAGAGCTCGTGAATCTGCAAAAGAATTTGCTGTTGTTTCGTAAAATCTTCCTCTATGTCCCTGAACTTATGCGAAATGGGTGGCAGAGAAAGAATATTGGTAAAGACTAAAAGCATGGTAGCAGACAACTGGCGATTTGGATGGACACTAAATTACGCATTTACGGATTTATATCATAGCCAAAATACTGACATATATCTTGGATCATGGCAACCACCTACGATTACGTGCCCTGGGCTTTCATTTGTTATTGTTATGGCTGAACGACCAAGTCGTGGAGTATCCAGAATGTATGGAGCTCTTCGCAAACGCTATATCGCTTGACTTGTTTGTTCTCGACGAGATCCGACCAGTACCGGCACCAGCATCGCATACTTCCAATGACGCTTCAAATCCTCCAGAAGAAATCACTGCGTCAAAGTCCCATACAGCCGGCTTGCATTTCGTGCGAAAGCTGAGCGAACGACATGCCGAGCGCTCTTTTGGACACGCTTTGGAACGCGATGATCGCGTCAAAAAGTCTAAATTTAAACTACACCAGACCTTAATTCGCGGTATGTTTGTTTTATTTTCTTTTATCAACTCTACGACACACACGTACACATACAAACAAAAAAAAATTCAGAATTTAGTTGATTGATTTTATGACTGAATTATTAGGAGACGAGCAAGCGCCATTATACCCTAGTCCTACCTCTCCTACTTACAACGATTCTATCGCATTACTTCATATCTTCCTTTCCAACCTTGTTCGGCTGGCTTACGTTGCTGCCGGATCTCCTCCCCCGCCCGATGACTACGAATACCCGCCAGGCGACAGCGTAGAAGCTGACGATGGAATTGCAACTGGTGTTGGCATTGATGCAGCTACAGCAAGCGCGAAATTTCTGTTTCGCATATTCAGAACATACTATTTAACGAAATTCACGCCTCAGGTTGCAAGGCAGCTCCAAATGGACGGTGTGCCCCCAGACAATGCAGAGAGTATGTGTGTTGTTGTATATATAAGAGATCAAGGACGCTACACACCTTAGTTTGTTAACGGTTATATACTCGCTGTAGATTACGGATTTCCCAAATGTCCGCCTAGCATTTTGCGGACCTTGCTCAGGTTCCTTATCGGCTACTGTTTGGATAACAGCTACGGCAGCAATTGGTCACATATGCCAACAGCTATCTCAGCATCTTCTCCAGCAACACCCATTCTCAAGTCAATCGTCCTTTCATCCTACGAAACGCGTGAAATGTTACACGAAATCTTACGCCAATCGTTAGTACTCCCATGCACAAATCCGAGTTATCGTGACATTACACGCGGCGCAATCCATATTCTCGGTGTCTGGATCCTTGGTAATGAAGATGAACGACCGTCGTTTTTGCGAAGGACAGGAAGTTGGACAGCTATTGCATCGGCGGGACACCCTGGAAGCGTCACAAGATCCAGTAGTTTGGCCTCAGTGCCGACTACATCCAGTTTTAAACCATCTGACGCAAATACGAACAACAATAATAATGATTACGAGGACGATTATAAGCATGCTGATGCGAATCGGTTCCTGCGACGCTATTTTCTCATGATCAAGCTAGTGTTTGAGGACCATTGGCAACGATTCAAGAAGCACCCTGAATCCAATGCTCAGCTTGGAACCGAGTGGGAAGGATTGATCGTGTTGTACAAGGACGCCATTAACGTATACCGAGCCATCACTGTTTGTCGCGGAGGAATTGATATGGAATGGGAAAGTTGGTAAGTTAATGAATAGTGCAAGAGGGTGATACGCATATGCAAGTGTGTGTGGATCGTAAATTTAATATTGTCGAAATTAGGGAATTGCTTTTGCATTGTCTGCTCGATATTCAAGACTGGTTCATGAATCAGCCTATCAAGTATACGTGCATACCCGTGCAATCGCTCGCAGACGAGCTTTCAGATTATATTTGCGAGGTTTGCTACCGTCCAGTAGAGGAGATGGCTACCTGCTGTTTATTTATACTAAACATGAGAAAATAGACGTTGCTTCATGCATTTGCGCGTGCAAGGATATCCCATATGGAATTGTGGAAAGAGCTAAAAATGCATATGATTTATTCAATGCGATGGTCGCAAACGCTGGGGCAATGGACAGTAAGCTGGTTCAAAGGGGTTACCCAAGGATCGTATTCATATGACCACTAGGCTAAAACAAACCAATAGAAAATCATGCACAAGCTTACTCGGGTGGTGTCATCTCGGTTATACAAGGTTGAATATGATATTTCAGAAAAACACGTGCAAGACGAAACCCGGAATCCGGTTCTCTCAAGTAGCGTACCGACGAGCGGTCGCACGCGCAACAAGGTACGTTCACGGCACTTGAGCATTCAAGGCGACCTGTGGCCAATCAAGCATGCCGCTGGGAGGCCGCTGTCGGCGGGAGCAAGCGATGGCCAACTTGTTGATATGATTGCTCAGGACAAGGTATTCGCGCAAGCCGATAGCACCAAGCAAACAGACAAGCCTGGTGGTGGCGGCGAGCAATTTGTTGACGCGACACAACAACAACAACAACAACAACAACCGCCATTCACAATAACGACGCCTCCTGTCATGATTATGCGCAACACAAGCAACATTTCACTTTCCGAAAAAGGCAGTTCCTCCAAAGCTTCTGATCGCCGTTCCGCGTATCTTGGTGATATTGAAGATGTGACCCTGTTGGATGAAGAGACTTTACAACAACAACAACAAAATAACAACAGCACCGTTCGCAGTGGTGGGAGCAGTAGTAATGTCGCTGGAGGAGCTGGAAATGTCAAGTTTGGTATCAAAAATATTATACCTACTTCATCATTTTCGACAAACACGATCCCAACATCATCACAACAGCAACAGCAACAGCAGCAACAAACGCCGGTAGTTTATCCTGCCAGCGGAGTAGCGTCGATTGGTGCAGGCTCACAAAAGCGTGGGCAGGGTGGTAGTAACAGTCGCCGCACCGTAAGCATTCATCAATTTGATACACTATGGCAAGACTCGGGCAGTAAATTTTTAAATTTCGTCCATGGGCAGCAGCATGGGGATAACGAAGGACCCATGACCTCATCCAACCATCGAAGCGCATCTGTTAAAGAGGATGATGAGAGGAAATCTCGGGCCGGTGACTGGGATCGTCGTAGCGCAAGTAGTCTTGCTATTGACGAAAACATGACCGTATCCAGCAAGGTTTGTTACGCTTTTCATTGTGAGCTTGTTAAATAAAGATCATCTTTAACAAACACAAGACTATATTTTTGCAGTCGAACCGAACATCCGTATCAGCTGGTTTACCACAAGGAGAGCTTGTGGCGCTTACAACGAATATGTCGGCTGTCCATGAAAGGTTACCAGCTGGTCTGGGCGTTTTCCGATGCTCTGAATTTCTCAATTTGTCAAACCTACGTGCGGACGGAACTGTAGTGCTGGGTGTATGGAAGAACATGCTGTGTGCGACTGGAAATGTGAATGAGATAGAGGTAAACCGCAGTTATTGAAATATGTTGATTGTTTGGCTTTATACTTAAAAAGATGTATATCTAGGATCCACAAAACTACGCTGTAGCGATGGGCTGTGTTGTCGACATATGGGATACTTTATCTTGGGTACGTTTTAGCTATAGACCATCCCCGCTTGCAATAGTGGCTAATGATTCTTATTATGTATATGCTTTAGATCCGATCGCGGCAACCATATCATAGTGTCCCTCGTCCTGCTTTATACGAGGTTGGACCGTGGCTATTGCAAGCAACCCAGCTGTCAGAGTAACGTGTCTACATAGGTGTTTCAACTGCTTGTTCGATATATATAAAAGCTAACTCCTATACAGGGCCTATGATACAGGACGTGCTTTGGCTTTTGGCTGCCTTTGCCGATTGATGTCTCGACGATCGGAAGAGCCTGTTTCTGCACAGTACTATGCTCATTTCTATAAAGCGGTGCTAAAGGTAATGCTACCACTCTCACACATATCGGTGAACACAAAACTCATATTTTGGATTGATTGGTAGGGATTGTCTTCCGGCGACACAGCCGTAATCCAGGCCATCATTCAAAATTCTGGGCGTGTGTTTTCATGCTGCTTACCTGGGGTGTATATATTGATACCATCGTTCATTGCAGCCATTGAAAGTCAGGTAGAGTAAAATCATCAAATAGAAACCAAGCTGTAAAGATTTGAGCCATTGCATACTAAAGTATTTCTTAGTTACTGGATGCGGATTCTGTCCGAGACGTCCCTACAAGCGTTAGGCGAGGATGCATTACAATCTTAGGCTCTCTCGTATCCATCTCTAACCATTTAGCAGATATCAAATTGGATGTGAGCAAAGAGTGGATTGGCCAGTTTTCTGAGGAGGAGCTATCTTTTACCGACGTAAGTGTATATACTCTGCTCGTTTCTAAAGTTCCCATTTCCTTCCCTTTTTTAATATTTCTTTTTGAATATCAATAATTAATATTCTTATTCTTTTATACAAGATTAAAGTGTGGTTAAAGAATCTTTTGTTGCGACTTGTAAACGCAGACACGAGTCCTGAAAAGATTGAGCAGAACACTGATGCCCATTGCATGCTACTTGGAGCTATCAGCGGTCTTGCGTTAGATGAGATATTGCAGTCGGAAAGGTAAGCATCGCCCACCTGAACAATACCTTTTAGATACTAACATGGGAATTGTGGCGTTAATTACAGTAGACCACAACAAGATATTGTTTATGAGACCCTCTTGGCTATGGTGAACCATCTGTATTGGAGCAACATATCCATCGTCAATACCGTCGTCGACTGCTTGAATACACTCGCGCAAATATACAAGGAGGATCTTGATCCTGATGGTGTGATAGTACAAGAAGTGCTTACGCGGGTCATTGATGCGTTGAACGTCCACCTCAAGTATTACGAGCGCAACAGCCGCGACGGACGTGGATTTATCATCTCAAAGCTATTCAGTTGTCTCTTGGAATGGCTGATGGTGATAGAGCCAATGATTCTTTCCGAAACAGAACTCTGTCAACTCGTCTTTGATGTGATTGAATATGCACTACATGTTACCTCGGTAAGCAACATCTACAGCTCTAATTGTACAAAACCTTCTCTTCATGCTCAGCACTAACCTATGAACCATGTTCCGCTAAACCAAAGGAGGGAGGCTCAGAGAAGCTTTTGCCGCATCCTCCGGTAATGCGTAGCAACACATCCAAAAAGAAAGAGCTGCCTTTCAAGTTCAAATTAATTACCGAAAAGCGCCCTACGCTTCATCATGAATATGTGAGCGTGATCAGTGGCTCAGAGTTTGCTGAAAGCGATCACAGCTATGTCAAGGAATCCGCTGAAGCCGTTCTCCTGCACTTGCTGCATCACTTTAATAACTTTGCACCGCCCTTCGGTCCAGCAACTATTCACAGCACAATTGTTGGCCCTGGCGTTGCAACAGAAGACAAGTCAGAGTTCCTCAAATACCAGTATTTCTCATTCAATGACACGACTATCATTGCTTTTGTCGAGTTGCCGGAAACCGAAACCGAAGGCCCACAAGCCAGAGTGATTGTTCGCGATTTGACTGGACGATATGTGTGGGATGCTCATGCCGAACCTTCAAACAAGAACTTGGAAAAGCCAAGGCCTCGCTCGGTGACCAACTCGCTGGACGCCAAGGATCAAGGTTTCTCGTTACGGCCAGGCGTACGGGTGCGACCCACTTCAAGTGAACCTCTTGACACGTAAGATGGATACCCCATGCGCTCTGTTTTCGTGAACAACAGTCTTTATTTATAACATCTTCTTTTGGCTATGAATCATCTAGATCAATGCGACGTTCTGCTCCTCGGATAGACAAGCTAGGAGAACTTATGAACAAGTAAGTACGCGTTAGAACCACTGTCAACTAAAAACGGCCATCATTTATACTGAGCAATTATCAATGTAGAATTGGAGAATGTAATCCTGATTGCCAAACAAACGTCAACACACCAATACCCCTTACACAATTACAGAGCAACATGGTTGGCCGGTTCGGCGAGCAGTTGAATGAGTTTCTAGAGGATGAACGCAGGAACAACGAACAACAAGAATCAGATGCGTAAGTGTGCTTAATTTTGCTTGCTTTGGCATGATGACACCAAAAGGCTAATCAATGATATACGCAGTGGTTTATGGTATTCTAAAATGAACATCCTGCGTCGTAAAGAGGCAACGGACCGCACCGACTCATTACACGCACATCTGACGGCCAATTTTTCGATACGAAAGGATTTCCTGCCTGCGTTCCCGCACGAAGCCGAGAAGTCGCATGTACCGTTTCAACAATGTCGATTATTGCTCAGTCACCTCGGGTTTATCAACTATGACCATCTGAAAGATGGTTCATTTCAAATGTTGAACAAAACACCGGCGCTGTACCGCGATCTGCGAGGATTGGATCGTAAACAAGGGTTAGCTAATCTGTCTTTGTTTGCTTCTGGCGGAAGATTTACTAACTTTAAACTTTCTTTCTTTCTTTTTTCCATGACACTTGCATGAAACAAACAATAGTCGGGAAACAATGAAGATTGCGGTGATATACGTCGGTCCTGGGCAAGAAGACGAACAAAGTGTCCTGCATAATAGTGAGGGCAGTGGCATGTACAATGCCTTCGTGAATAGCTTGGGATGGGAAGTCGATATTGCAACGCACACGGGCTATCTCGGCGGTCTTGAGCGTAATCTCACGAATGGTACGCGAACGAACTATTACTGCTCATCCACTTTGGAAATGATATTCCACGACGTTACCAAGATGCCCACCGAAACTGAGGATCCCAAGCAGCTCAAGAAGGTATGTGTAGAAAGAACCTGGCGGCGCACAGAAAGAGAGCTAAACAAAGAATTTTTTTTCTGCATAGAAACGGCACATTGGGAACGATCATGTTCATATTGTTTGGAACGAACACGATCGGGATTATCGAATTGGAACGATTGGCGGCGACTTTGGAAACGCGCAGATCGTTGTGACTCCTATGGAAAATGGATTATTCGCCATCCGTGTCTATCGGGATCCAAAGGTAAAAAGATTAAAAACTGGGCTGTGTGTTGTGCGTTGTCGTTCGATTACCTAATGTTTCTGTCACATGATCCCAGATTCCGTACTTTGGTCCGCTCTTTGATCGCATGGTTGTGTCACAATCGATCCTTGGACCTCTTGTAAGGGCAACAGCCGTCAGTGCATTCCGTGCGGCGATTCATACCAATATCTACTCGTTCTACAAGAGTGTCTTTGCACAGAGAGCAAACGATGTCAAGACGATAGCTCATCGTCACAAAGTTGCAAACTGGTAAGCTCAATAGGAAATCAAAATGACATTATGTCATCCGCTGGTCTGAACTTTTTCTTTGTTTGCGTTTGTAGGACTTATGAGCAGTTCATGGAGAAGGTCTTCATGCCAAACGATGAATAGAATATCACACATACACCCACATATCACATACAAACACGCACATTCACTCACTTATTCAAACTACTTTATTCATACTACATACCAAAGCAACACCCCCCTTAGTACCTCTTATTACATTCTAATTACCTATATTATTGCATGCACTTTGTCTCAGAATTTTCTTATAAAGAGAACACAATGGATTGTTCCACAGTTGATGCAAAAAAAAAGTCGTATAAAAATGCGCGCGATCGAAATTCGCTTGTTTGTTGATCTTGTTTCTTCCGCAACATATTTTCTCGACAAGCATGATAATACCCATATCCCCCACCACCTCCACTTCAACAACGTCAAGCGATAGTCCACCATCATTTCAGAACGACGCTGCTATTTCTGCTGCAAATCAATGCACCATGGACACTACCGATGAGGATGCGTGCAAGGACCAAGGACAAGGCTATTTTGATGATTATATGATGCTTAAACTACCAGAACAACGACAACAAAGATCTGCCGCTGGTGCCGTCGCTTTCGATTTGTTACGACTTCGCCGATCATCCGCTGTCCTTGACAGTGTTCCACGGTGTGATACCTGCCGCCGTCGATTTCATTCCTTGGGTAATCTTATGAACCATCACCAACTGTATCGCCATTGAATATCCCTCGATTGTTTGGCAATTACTCTATTGCACATCATTTTCTTGTATATAGTTTTTATCATCTTCTCATTTGGCAGTACATATTATAATCTATTAAAAAAGACCGGAGTCTGCGCTCTCTTTTAACTGTTTGTGTTCGGCTGACCACAATCATCGTCCATATTTTGTTATGCTTCTCCTTTTGTGGTCGTTGCTGCTGGTGTGCTTAACCGCGTCAAGTCAGGCATACAAACCGCTTTCTCCAGCAGCCCTTTCGACTCTTAAAGATCAACATCATTTAGTTCAAGAGTATTCAGAACCCTTATTTATTCCTCGCATTGCTGGAACTCCGGGTAATGCCAAAGTACGTTCCATCATCGTCGACCATTTCAAATCTTTGCAGTGGGAAGTGACCTTGGATACCTTCACTGCAGCAACGCCCGTTGGCGCAGTCGAATTTTCCAACATTGTTGCGACATACAACCCAAAGGCACAAAAGCGGCTTGTGTTCTCGGCTCACTACGACTCCAAGTACTACGAAGACTTTGAGTTTATTGGTGCCACTGATTCCGCTGTGCCATGTGCAATGCTGATGGAGTTGGGCGTTGCACTTGACGACGCGTTACGCCGCGTGGGTAAAAGCAGCGACACGACTTTACAATTGGTGTTTTTTGATGGTGAGGAGGCGTTTGTTCGTTGGACAGAAGAAGATTCGATTTACGGAGCAAAGTAAGAATTTGTATTTAGTGCTTTGAGTTAAAAGAAATTATAAGACTAAGCAATATAATGTAGGCATTTGGCAGAGAAATGGCACTCAACAGGTGACCTCGAAAAGATTGATGTGCTTGTTCTCCTCGATCTTTTAGGAGCACCCAACCCTTCGCTTCCAAATTATTATCCATCAACAAGCTGGTTATTTGAGAAGCTAGTTGAAGTTGAGCAACGATTGTACAACACACAAATGTTTGATTCAAACCATATCTTGACATACAAGGGCTATGTAATGCAAGATGATCATTTACCGTTCCTTCAGCGCGGTGTTGATATCATTCACGCTATCCCATACCCATTTCCTGAAGTTTGGCATCAGCAGCAAGTAAGTACAAATGTTCGATAAATGTACACTGATATATCAAACAAATGTAACTCACTATGCGTCATTCACCTTGATCCTCGTAGGATACCCCCGACAGAATTGATTTTCGTGTTTCTCAAGCTCTCTCGATTATCTTCCGTTGCTTTGTGGCTGAATATCTGGAATTGCCAATTAATATTTATCATAGTGAGCTGTAAAATACCAGATACAATATATGTTTTTCTTTTTTTTTTTGGATAGAATAAAAATCGTGTAACGAGCAGGACCAAAACCAACATACCCTGAGTTTCCTCAATGTGTTACAGACGAATATAAGAATAGTAACATAAGATCAGAATTACTTGCAACGTACCGAAAGGCCGTAGCATATATACATCTCTCTCTGTATACCTGGGTCCAGCCTTCACTAGAAATAGGAGGTAAAAATATCGGGTAAGCTTTTGAACGTCAAAGTTAATCATCTAGAATAAGTCTATCTGCTAATCTACTTGCTAAAATACAGCTAATGACTGCTTAAAATGTTCACAAATGGCAGCGAAATGGAACCGTGCTTTATAAAGAGATTATAACCAGGTATCTTAGAAAAAAAGATCGGCACCCTAAATGCAGAAGTGATCCTCGCCAGCTTTTTGCTACTGGAAGTACACACAATTGTATTGTACACATTCGGTAAGAAAGAGTAGCATCATGTGTTTGTTTTGATGCACGCTTTGTAATATTATCACCCTTGCCGAAGCCGAAGGATGAAGGGCCAAGAGCAGAGAAGCAGGTTACAGCATGTCGATAGCTAGGTAACCGTCGTGCGTGTATGGTGTAAGCTCAAGAACTGGATAGACCGTTGCCAACAACGTGTAGCAGCCCTTGGTTTATGCTCATTCATTGAAGTTTTATCAAAACCTAAACGCATGTATGATTGAAAAGGGATATAAATTCATTGGATATGTAACTATGTGCAATCCCGAAACAAGGTACGAAAGTCTGCACCCGTGCTGCCAATCCAATGAAAACATATTAACTTGCCGAGCATTGGTTACTCTTGCTACAGCTATTTATTTACAATTGCTTTGAAAATGAAATGAGGCACACGAAACATGTATTGCATCGTTTTTACAGAGCAACGATCTTAAGTAGCACAGTTTGCTCCAGCGTTAATGAGGAACCAGGTCAAAGAACCTGTAATTCATGCAATGAATCGTCGTCCAGTAATTGATTTAAAGATGGGTTTGCATCAAAAAATATTTTGAAGCACTTCAAGTAACACAAAAAAGCAGGCAAATCTTTCGGAAGACAAAGTAGAGAATGAGACGCCCTTGAGCCGCCTGTATACAGTGAAGAGAATGTAGCGTGCACAAAGTATATGTTAACAGCAATAGGGCCATTCGCAAAACGCGTCCAGAACCGGCCCAATGCGTGCTGCAAAATAAAGCTAAGGTAACCTCAACGGCGGGGGCTCAAAGGGTCACTGTGGTTAGTTATCGACCACGTGTAGTGTGAACCATTTTCGCAAAATAGCCACGAACAAGAGGAAAAAAAACACATTTTGCATCTTCCCTTTCCCTCTTCCTCTCTCTCTCTCTCTTCAATCCTACACTCGTCCTCTCCCTTTTCTTCTTTCCTCTCGCTCACGCTCTCTCATTTCGTTTGCTTCTCTTCCTTTCCTTCTTAATATCTGTTCATCGTTTTCCGCTTCCCTTTCCAGTCTTTTTCCATATTCTCTCTTGCAATCATGGCATCGCCATCCACCAACGAAGTCCTTTTTGTCATTATCATTGTGGTTGCCTTCTTTATCCTTCTTGGAACTTGCGTCTTCTGCGTGTACCGAGCGACCGCCCCGACGAAGCGACAACGTGAAGCTATCGAACAACACCAAGCGTCACTGCAGGCACAGCAAATCCAGTACATTACCGCTTCACAACTCGAATCGCTCAGACCACCCGAGTTGGCCAAGCAACTTTACGGTGAAAAGCAGGAAATCTTCAACGACAACAAACGCCGATCCATCCTCAACAAGTTCTTTTCTCCTCATCAACAACAGCAAGGCAACGGTATGATCAGACCCAGCTCTGTCCGTGAGCCATCCTTCCGTCCAATGCAACAACCTCCTTCAATCATTATTGACGATGCTGTAGCAATCCGAGATGCTGAAATTGCCGCTCTTGCTCAATCCCATCCCCCACCTGCGTACGGCGACAATCGCTCGTCTATTCCTGTACGTTTCGACCAGCAGCCATCCTATTCAGAGAAGCATTGAAGAAACTACGAGAAGATAAAGTAGTAGTAGTAGCTAGAAGCTCTTTGCTTGGTTTTACTACCTCTTCTCTTCGCCAGACCGTTTTCACTGTCTGGTTCTTTTTTTCTTGCTTCTTGTTGTTGTAATTAGATTCTACTCCTTCTTACCATTATTACATATATAAAGCATATTTTCGGTATTACCTAATTTTATTATATAATTTATATGCACAATAGTAGCGTTATATACGTACAGAGAACAATGACGATATACGCAGTACGCATTGATTAGCTGCTTATTTAACGAGTGATTGGACCTTGTTCTATCATATCCTAATATTTTCGCTGTTTTGCTTCAGTTCTCCACCCTTAATCGAATGCAATAATTTCTTGTTAAAGTATAACAACAAGGCTCAAACTCACTTATTACATAACAAGCTGCTTTGTAATCAAACACTATAATTATAATACATAGCTTATGGAGAGATGCTTCTATGTAATACAGTCTTTGTGGTGATGATGAGCAATTATATACCGGCTCGAGAAATACATTCTGTTTGCCTTTTTTTTATCATATATACTGCTCACAGACTGCTGCACTTAATTGTTAACGACTAATATTTCAATGCAATATTGTTGTCTATCGAATTAAACCTTTCTTCATGAAGATCGCTCATGCACGCCACATCCATACAAAGCGTGCAGCAGCAGACCTGCATTGTTATTGCCTCCTCCCACAATATCGGCTTCTCATCTAATATTTTAAGACATTACCATTTATGTGATTGCATAAATCGCTATTATGCTGCATAGCGACAAGACCAGCGATTTCAAATGTGCGAATTAATTGAATAGTGATATGAATTGTACGTACTTTTCCTTAAAGACAAAGATAAATATCAGCATACCTAAAGTGAGTAGTGATTACAGTGGTTGTTATTTTTCGCATGGAATATGGTTTCGGCAAAGGAGTAGCTTTTTAAAGGCACTTAGCATACCTTTGTTCGAGTCTCGATCCTGATTTCTGTAAAGTGGATTGCTTCTGTTTCAGGTAAACTAAAATATGAACAGGAGGTGAATAACGACACGGACAACCTCATGGTCGTATGATAATCGTCATAATCAGTGATTATTTAAGCGCAGCAGCAGCGAAGGAAAGAAAGCTTCAGTCAATAACCATGGTCGCTCACATTTCTTTTCGTAATTCTTACTAATTATAGCAGAAGCATTTATCGTGTAAAAAAGGTAGAATGAGCATTGCTGCCCCCTTCGCGCTCTGATCTACCCCTTTTTTATTCTTGTGCGTTGGTTAATGGCTGAATGCAAGGTACATTATCATGGAGCATGAACCTCCTTAAAAATTTCATTAAGCTAACTTTTTGTTGACAATATATAGACTACGAATCTTTGACAGGATCTAGAGTTAAAAAGATATGCAACATCGTCACCGGCGAAGTCGTGCATTACTACATATCATAAAACTGAATAAAAGTCTGACATTGCTGCTGGTTGAAAAACCTAGGGAATATGTACGCTTTATTTGTTGTGGGCATATACAAAGGCACGTATTACTCTACATATGTGCATACGTATCTATGTACAGTATAAAATATCTAATAACATTTTTTAAAGTCTGATGCATAAGCGTGGATATGTTAATGCAAAAAATTCTGTCGTCAGCCTTTGTAAGGTATGTACAAACTTTACAGATGGGTTTGATGGAGATGATCCTATCGTAAAACGTACATATGCATGATCCAGAATAGAACGTCATTTAACTCTCTTGTTATATTGATCATCCGAGAGTCTTTCGGAGATATTTAAGAAAGTAAGTCGCTGAATCAAGTAAAATAAGGAAAAACGTCAAGTACACAGGGAGAGTCTTTGTCTAGAAGAAGATGTGAATAATATAATAGTATCCTTTTTCCCGGTCGGAGAAAGCAAGACTAGATTGTGTGTCAGCGCGAAGAATTTCATACTTATGATCCTTCGACTCACGACATCAATAATATATGTACCATTGTATGGTGCATACTGTCTTAAACCATGAATTGTCGAAAATTGAGATTTTTTAAAGTGCCTCTAGATAATAGAATAGCCGCTACATGTGTAGGCATTGTCAGCCAATCCAATAGTAGACATTTCTTTGTAGATTGATAGCAACGTGTAGATTTAATCTTCTGTTCCACTTCTTCTATGAGAGCGATATCTACGTGTCGTAAACTTTTCAACTAGCTTAAGAGCTTCGCTTCCAGTTTTCATATCATTATATACTTGGATATAGCGCCAGCAACGGTTGTAATAACGGCGAATTTCTGCAGGTGGTTCATCAGGTGGAGATACCTGATCCAAGAAATCCTCGAGCCTTTTTCAAGAGCTGAAAACGAGTAGTCACACTCCTTTCTCGCAATTCGTTTCCCTGCACCCCAATACCTCTCAATCCAATTAGTCTCACAATGATACTTAGGATAGAGGGCAAAGAGATGACCAGCTCTTTCGACAACTTCGTGCAATGCTGTCTTCTGGGAGACAAAGTCAGGTTGACCTTCGAGCATGTGGTAGGGACAGCAGGTACGATCTTGACTTGGTGGTTGCTCGCAGTTGGTTTTCCAATGCTTCTTTTTCGCTTCGAATTCTTTCCAACGGCCGAGTCCACGTTCTTCCAAGATGGTCTTGATGCCTTTCCTCGTCCAGATACGCTCTTCCTTGAACCCCTTCCTTGTCTTTTTTTGCTTGACTTCCAAGGTGTAAAAGTTTTGGATCACCTTTTCTCCATTAGGTCTAGTGAATTTACCTGGCAAGATAACGCGCTCATCAATTGAGTTCAGCACTTTATCTTTTAGACCAAAGCGGCTCACCAATTTAGCGCTTGGTGCATACGCGCTGTGATTGCTTGATTGATCAAACAAAAATAAAGCCTGGCAGCCGGGGTGGAGCTTCTCGAACAACGGTATAGCATCTGCTTTGAGCTGGTTGACCATATCTTTTGACGTCCAGTAGCCTTCACGGTTGGTTCCCGCTTTGAACAGATGGCGAGATTTCCAACCTTTGATCCTCATAGTTCCGTGGCACGGGCATTGGAACTCGCTGACCATGATAGATCCACCTGGGCCCTTCTTTCGGATAGGGTTTTCATCTTCTTGTAACCACAAGCTTGTTTTGCAGTCGTTCGAATAAAAGGTAGATTCGTCATGCGTGACCATAACGATTTTCTTCTGACCCTCTGGCAGAACAGGTTGGTACTCGACCAGAACGTTATCCTCGTCGTACGTCTCCATGAAGCGGCTGCAGTCTACCATTTGGGCGGCCCACTCTTGTCTGTATTTTACGACATCTTCACGTTCATGGCCGTCGTAGTAGATGTTTTTTTGGTTGGGCCGATACTTGTAGCCCCATTCAATCAAATAATTGCGAAGTACAGAAGCTGAGATGTGTCCGGGAAGACCAAGGGCGTCCATGATGGCAATTTCGTTGACGAACTTTAGCATTTCTGGAATGCTTCGCTTCTCTGGCTTGGTGTTTGTCAACCACTGTTGCGCTGCTGCTTTGACATCTTCATCGCTTAAAAGGGAAAGGCGTTTGATGTGTTGCCTTGCTGGTGTACTGAGATTTAACCATATCGTATATATTCCTTGGCATAGATCTTGATCGCTTCAGGGCGGTAAAACCTGGATGGTGTTATCCACGCGATTTCAGCTGCTGCCTTGGAAGCTTCCATTACTCCTTTGCCCTTGAGCAGCTCGCGAAAATACGCATGAGCGCCGATGTGTTTTCGTAGCTCGTAGTCGCTCATGTTTCGCTCCTTGTCATTTTTCGAGTTCGTTTGAGGCTGGACAATTGGGGTCAGTTTCAAGAATGCTTCTTCGACAGTCAGCACTGGCACAAAGTCCTCCGAAACAACCTCCACTTCATCAGCGCTATGAAAGAAGGAAATAATCTCGTGGTTCCCTTTCTTCTTTTCCGATGCTTTCTGTAGCTGGTAGTATTTTGTGGTTCTGTCATGTCCCCAATATTTGCCACGGGACTTGGAATCTGCTTTATTATCCCACATAATAGGAAACTTTTGGCTTGTTGTGGTCGCTGTCGTCGTTGTCGTTGTGGTTTCTGTTGCTTCTTCGAATGCAGTGAGAATCTCGAAGTCGTTTGGTTCTTGTTCGGTCGCGTCAGATGAAGTCCGGATCTCGACAATCGGCGATTCTTCTAGTCTTGCGACTTTTTGAAATCGTCCGTTTTTTGAGCTTTGAAGCTGTTCTAAGGCGCGTTTTTTGTTTGTTGGATCTGGGAGCCATTTTCGCGTTCTGTGATGATAGAGCTTTGATAATAATAAGAGACAAGATTAAATATCTTTGAGATGATGTTTTAATCCAATAAAAGATAAAGCTTTTTTATCTTCTAGCTATTAAGACGGCGATATCAATTCATCCGACTAGTGGATAAACTATGTGATAGAGGAAGGATCAAGGACGTATCAGAACTTCTCTTGAAGTCGCTTTGTTAATCGGGCACATCTTTGAAACCGGCATTAGCTGATGTAATTGCCGAGGTACCTGTTGATAGGTTCATTGTCCTGTTCACGTAAGGTCAATCATCCGAGTGAGAGGTTTTACTCAATAGTGTTTAGCCGAGATGCTGTAGTATTCATATATGTGTGCTATAATGTTTAACCGAATATCTTATTGTTGATATTTTAAGCAGTGTATCAATGTGGTTCGTCACAGGCGTGCTTTTGGAAAAAATGGGTAAGAAGCAGTGTTGGATTATTCACCGTGAATATTCGGAGAGCTAATAATCACACCATGAAAAAGTGAAAAATGTACGTGAATATTCCAGCGTGAATAAACCTTCATCAATTGGAAATGCTTAAGGGAGAGCAAGAGAGAGAGAAAGCAAAGGCTCCAGAGTCCATTTATAAGTATAGGAAGGTTTATTCACGCGTGAAAATTGATTTGGTATGTATTATTCACACGTCGTGAATATGTACATTCTCACTGTCCATGAAAAATGGTCAACGTGAGTATTGCCAACACTGGTAAGAAGGGCAGTAACGCACTCATATTACTGGTTAAGCCAGCTCTTTGTGTGTAACCTTGGGTCATCTATGGTTACACACTGCCAAAAACATTTCTTCCCCTTGCCCAGCCGACTGTCGAAATCCTCCACCTACTTAGTAGCTTTTCATATTCCGACAAAACTTCAAAGGCTATCAGA